TGCTGTCCCAGTGCCCTTAGCGGATTCATTCTGGACTGAGGGCAGATCAGCTTCTGCATTTCTTGCCAGGGAAGAGCCTCAAGGGAGCAACTGATTTGTCTCCACCAACTTGGGTCTGGCTTCTCTGATAGACTGCTGCCAAGCCTTGAGGATGCCCTAAGGTTTTAGAATTTCTTTGTGCTCATTAGAGATCTCAGCCTGGGAATGTGTTGCTAGCACTGCTCAGAGAGAAGTGGACACAGCATCAAAGAAGATTATTTTTGAGCAGGAAGTTTCTAGAGGCAGAAGGATGGTTGAAAGAGGTGGTTGTTCATGTATATCCACTCATTCACCAACCCCCTTTTCCCTTCTTTTGTGCTTTGATTTTTTTGGTTGTAAAATGGCCTTTTGCGGTCTGACCGTCTGCTGGCTTCCTTAGCTGCTCATTTAACTTTGTAATAAATAAGCTTGTGTTTCTTTCCATACACCCACTGACTGGCCTTTCATTTAGAAATGGGCACTACTGGCCTAGCCTCAGTGATACAGGTGATAGAGTGCTGCTGTGTGATATAGGAGTCGAGTGGGAAGGCCTGGGAGCCAGATCTCTGGTTGACCTGAACATGTGAGAGGCACCTGTGATCTTGGTTGGCTGGAAGGCTGAGGGGTAGTAGGAAGATGGTGGCATGGTAAGACCCTGTCAAGGGTACCTATTTCTCTCATGAAATAAATAAAGCATAAACAAAGAGAAAACAAAATAATTTGGTCCTGCTGGGCAGGAAATAAATGTTTAAGGTTGAGCACTGCTGTCTAGAGTCTGGCTAAACCTAGAGCTTGGTCTAGAGCCCAGTGCCAAGGCAGGTATGTAGAGTGCAGTCCAACCCAGAACCTGTCTGCACTTGGCTAGACCCACCTTAAAGCTCAGTCTGGAGCAGAGAGTCCATTCTAGGGCCGAGTTTGGACCTTAGTCACAGTCAATTCTAGATCATAGACTTTAGATCCCTGTTGAAAATCTCCGCACAGAGTCCAGGGTTTGTTTGAATGCCAGTGCTATTCAGGACATGGACCAGCCCATTCACTGAACTCCAGCCAGGAATGAGGGTGGGGATGGTGCCGAGCTGCAAGCATTCCTCAGGAATTAGAATTCTGAGCAAGTGGGATAGTATAGGCCTGAAGATACAGTGGAATTTGGTTGGAAGATATGAGTAAAGTGAATAAGGAAGGATAAAACTGACATATTCTGAACTGTACACCTTTCAGGTAGAGTGTATATCTTCTCTGTAATAATAAATATAAAAGTGCAAAGGGGAAAAATCATTCTTAACAACGAACAACACACTCACTTCTACAAGATGAGCAAAATCCTTACCTGAGTAAAAAGAAAATGCTCCCTGGAGAAAATCACTAATACAATGAGGCTACCTATTGAGAAAATGGAATGCAACACAACAGGACTTCAAAAAGTTTGTGGAAAATGAGATTAAAGTATAAGTTTACTTTGATGTAAAAATTTTTTTGAAGTTCATGCATATTTTTAAATAACGTGCATTTCCCATGAACTTTTGAAAACTCCTCATATATATCCAAACATCCAAAATATTATCAGAGAAAAAGAGAATAGCAAATGAGAATAATAACACCCTAAAGAACAGAAAAGGGGAGGAAGTATTATGACAAAACGGTATATAAGCAAATTAGAACACTCATGAAGAGTGAAAAAATGTTACGATTTCAATTGTTTAACAATAATCAAACTTTGACAGATAAAGTAACAAAACGGTTCCATATACAAATGTATACATAGCTAATATCTATTGTTAGTTACATGTTAGGCTCTATGTTGAAAGTTTTACATGCTGTCTTAGTCCACTATTGTATTGACAACAGAAATACCTGAGGCTAGGTGATTTATAAAATTAGAGGTCTATTCACCTCACAGTTTGAAGGTCCAAGGCCCAAGGGCCATTTCTGGTGGGCATCTTGTAGAGTCCTGATCACATCGTGAAGGCAAAAGTAGAGCAGATTGGCTATTCATGAGTCTCTCTGTCCTGGTTTCATTCTCTGTCCTTATAAACTCACCATAATTTTATCATGGGGCCTCACTGTAATGACTTTAATCTAAATCTCTTGCTAAAGGCCCTACCTTTAGACACCATAATTGGATCAAGTTTTCATCCCCTTAATTCTATCACAATGGCTCAGTACATGAACTTTTGGGGGACACAAACCATAGCACATGCATTATATTGTTTATTCCCCACAAAAATCCCATGAGAGTGTGGCTTGAATAGTGTCCTTCCAAAATTCATGTCTACTGGGCAACTCAGAATGTAACCTTAACTAAAAATAGGACCTTTGTAGATATAATTAAGGTAAGGGTCAAGATGAGGTTATATTGGAATAGGGTGGTCTACATACAATGAGGGTGTCCTTATGAGACAGAAAAGGTTACACAGAGACACAGAGGAAAGGAAGAAGGACATGTGAAGATGAAGCCAGAGATTGGAATTATGTTATCACAAGGCAGCACCAGGAAACACCGGAAGTTGAAAGAGACAAGAAAAGATTATCCTCTAGAACCTTTGGAGGAGAAGATGGCCCTTCTGAGACATCAGTCTCAGACTTTTGGTCTCCAGAACTGTGAGATGATAAATTTCTGTCATTTTAAGCAACCAAGTTTGTGGTAATTTGTTACAGGAGCTCTAGCAAACTAATACAGGTAGGTACTCCGGATTCTTCTTTTCCAGAGGAGTTAATAAAGTTCTAAGAGATGACACTACCCAAAGTCACAGAGCTGGTATGTTGGTGGAGCCAACATTTAAGATCAGGTACAGTTGGGGACAGGTTGTGGTACAGTGGTAATGCAACTGAACCTGCCTAGGAAAGAAAGGTCCTGGGTTTGTGGTCTGGGACCTCCCTGAGCATGGCAGGCTTGTGTGTGCTCATGAATGGACTGGTTGAGACTAGGGGTAGGTCTAGCATGAAGACATTGTTGGGGTATCCTATCTCTCTCTCTGCCTGTCTCTCTTGTGGAAGAAGTAAATAAGTGGACTTAAACAAAAATATCAAGTATGTTTGGCTGCAGAGTCCATGATCTTTGTCATCACTTTACTGTTTCTAAGGAAAAATATTATGTCTTCTGCCTTGTCTTCTGCTTGCCTTTTTAGTCCCCCACAAAAAAAAGGAGACAGGGAGACATTACAACTCTCCTCACTTCTAACTTGCAATTGAATTTCAGGTTCTAACTTTTTTTTTTTTTAAGTTTATTTTGGGACCAGTAGACAGCGTAAAGCCTATGTCGCTGGATTCCCATGTCGCTGACTGTGGTTTGAGTCCTGAACCTGGTGACTTAGACTCAAGATGGGCACGTGTGTGTGCATGCATGCATGTGTGCCCAAGAACCCAAGAGGAGAAGGGATTGCAGCATGGCCATCCCCCCTGGGGTGGGTGATTTCTCGCTTTCTGTCTCTCTGTCTCTCTCTTGTCTTTCTGGCGAGTGCACATGCCGTATAGCAAAAACCTCTCTCAAAAAAAAAAAAAATAAGATTTATTTCCAGAGAAGGGGAGAGAGTGTCACCCTTAGCAGAGTTTTCATGTCATGATCCTCCTTCCCAGCCCTGCAATTAGTAAGTATCACAAGAGTGCCTGTAGGCACACCAGCATGTTCAGGTAGACTTGGGATACAAACCTGTAGTCTTTTCATTGAAGCAAAAGCCCCTCCATCTTTGAACTCTATGTTATACTTACTTCCTACTTTTGCCCAGAGTAAATAGAGTGATTAATAGTCTTACTGTCTTTGCTAAGTAGCCCAAAACTTTTTTGTGTAGCTGTTCCTTGGCAATGTAATCACTAATAACCAGAAGACTCCCCCAACCTCCCTACCCCCCCCCCCCCGCCCAGATCCTGAGTCATGGGGACCATTAAACACAGGTCTGGAGAATATTCCAAGAAATAATTAACCTGCTTGATTCAGCTTCTTGTAACTGCTTTCACATGGGAACCTCACTCCCTTTCCTCTTCACCCCACCTCAGTTTCCACTGTAATCACCATATCAGTCCAAAATTGATTATGAATTTTACCTATATAAGCACCCCTCTCCTTCCACTTGGGGCTGTAGAGTTTTAAGAGGCATGAGGACCCCTGTATGCTACCAGCTTAATCAATAAAACTCCAATAAATTTTGCTACATCTGGATGTCTTATTTCTCACTGACTAGACTATAATGTTTGGAGGCCCCAGTGAGATCAGTACCTACGCAGTACTTGGGCAAGGCATCCTAGGGAGAGTGGCCTTGCTTGGTCCAGCTGCCAACTACCTGGAGAGTGCTCTAGGGGAGGTGCCACCTGGGATTTCCTGGGGCTCCAGAGCTATCTTTTGGGGTTGTTGACAGCTGGCAAGAGATGCTGACTACTGCTCCAAAACGTTTGTGAAGTTCTAATGAGACATTTCTTTTGGTGTTCTTTTTTTTTTTTTTTTTCTTTTTTCTTTTTTAGAAACAAACTGGTGAGTATGGGGCTGGCAAAGGAAAGCCCCCTGAAGTCTGGCCTGCTGGATGAGGGGTTCAAGTCCCCCTAAGCTGGCTGGATTCAGGGCTCATCAGACATGGTTATAGAGTCCCTACTTAGATTCCACCAGACGTGCTGGAATCTGGGGACTAGATAATTGTTAGGGGTTTGAGTCCCCCTAGCCCTTAGATAGTTTGTGGTAAATCAGGGTTTGGGTCTCTGGGTATTCAGGGTTGTTTTGCATAAGCTTCTTTTGTTTTCACTGTCACTTTAGTTATTTTCTCCACACCCTCCTGGCATGTGTTACTTGGTTCTATCTCCCTTCTTCCTCAGGTGAAGATATCGAGCAGTGGATTGTTGGCCTCACTTATCAAGGTGGAGAACTCAACATGGAAAATCCAGGATTTCAGCTAAGACTGTCCCATATTTTTTGACTAACCTTCTCCTCTTGACAGAGGCTGAAGGAGCAGACTGCACATGGGAAATGCGAAATGGAAAATTGTTAAAAAGCCCTTATTTATCAGGGAAAGATATTTCACTTTATGTTGATCTTTGGAATCTCTTTATGGGTGAATCGAGCTCTCAATATGGTGGTGGTGGGGGGAGCGTGCTGGAGTTGATTTTGAGCTGGCCTACTTGTCAGGGTATGGGAATAAGGGGTGGAACTTTGGAAAATTTTATCTTTTTCCATGCCAAAGAAGGGATTATTGTCTTTCAAATCTTGATTATTACTGCCCATATTGGGATTATGAGTCTTTAGTTCTGGGGGCCCTATGGTCTAATGCATCACGGCAACCCAAGCACTCTGACCCCGACATAGCAACACAAAGACTCCAGAGGCTACCAAAATGTAGTATGAGAGCTTGTGACCCTCTGAAAATTTCCATCATAGATCCATCAGATCCTAAATTGTCCACAGGTTGCACATGGGGAATCGGCTATTATGTCTCTGGAAAGGACCCTGGGACATTCTTTACAATCC